TTTTTAATGCTAGCCATCGATTTCTCTTAAAATATTATAAATTAAAATCTTAAAAATTAATAACATTTGGTATTTTTTAGTTCAATTCTTATGCCTTATAGGGATGTCAACTAATTTTTTTATAATGACATCATGTATATATAACTATCTTTTTGAGTAAAAAATAACCTAATTAAGAAAATGACTGATCATCTTGCTGATGTTCAGTCGCACCGTTTGCTGTTAGTTTCTGGGTGGAAAAGGGAATTTCAACAGTGACACATGCCTTGCCCTCATGTTGGCTCCCTCAGCCATAATGAATTACGTCAGGTGTAAAATCCTGTCAAATCGTAAACCGACCCTAAATAGTGGCGTATATTATATTAAATAATTTATTATAATATATTTTTGTAAATTTTATAATTTCATTAATTTTTAATAAAAAAAAAAAAAAGGTATAGCCTTAATAAGTAATTTTACATTCCAATATTATTACTTTTGCGACAAGATATAGTTTTTTTAAATAAATTATTATTTTGTAACATTTTTTAATAACTAACAAAATATAGTAACTATTCAACAAAAGTTTAACTAAAAAAAAGTATTCATACTTTTAAAAATGTTTTTCAAAGGGGAGTGGTAACAACAATGGTCGATTTAAAGTGTATCCACAAGGTCACATAATGGGGAAATCTATTATTTTTAGATTTATTATTCAATCGGACAAGGTTAGTAGATTTTGTATTTTATTATTTTTCAGAGTTGAAAAATAAAAAATAATAGGTACAACATTGAATTTCGAAAAGCAGATTATCAAAAAAGCGTTATAATTTAAGATATTTTACGTAGATTATAAACATACTGTTGGCCATTAAAATAAATGTATTCAGTCCAATAGATTCTAACTATTATTGTGGAATATTACTGTTTTGATAAAACAGTAATAATAATAATAATAATAAGATGTCCAAGTATATTTTTCTTTTATGCACTTATCATTTTATCATTATAGATAAAATCGTTTTTTATTTATACGTCAATAATTAATTTACTATTAGTTATGAATAGTCGTAAAATTGTTAATTTAATTTAATATAACTTTTTTGTGTAAAATCGTAATTTGTTACCGTTATTTGTTACGATATTAATTTTTCATTTTAGTTTAGATTTTTTTTGTTTATCTATAAGATTAAATATAAAATAATGTTATTGACGATATTTTGATACAAGCAGAATGAATGCATTACATGAATGTAAAAAAAATGTACCAATAACTTCTTTTTTGTATGGACTCGGCATTGTTTAGTACCAATACCACAATATATTTTTATTTAAATCACTTTATGCATAAATTATTAAGTAAATCGATTAGGTTAAAAACATGACTGGGATTAAGGTATTTCAATAAAATTAATATCGTTAAAACGCTACAAAGTTTTTATTTGTCGACTGGGATTGAATCGCATAATGGTGTCAATAAAAAGCCTGCGAATTGTAAGTCTACGGTAATATATTTGAGTTTTTATAATATTGTTTATTAATAGTTTATTAGATAATAACATTTATTGTGTAATAAAATTCTGAAATGAAAATATAAAGTAAGTTTTGTCATAGTTATGATACGAAAATGACTTTTGTGCTACTTTATTAATTATTCAAATAACTACCAAGGACTTATACATTATTACGTATCCTTTTGTTTTAAGCTTCAACGTTATCAATTAAAGTAATTTTAAAAATAATTAAAAGTAACTATGATAATAATATTAATAAACATACAATTTAAAAAATAAAATTATTCTAGTTCAAAATTTGTATAACTCTTATTTAAATACTGTTTTTAGTGTTTTCCCTGATAACGACTATGATATGGTGTCATTTCATTGTGACACCGAAGCAGCTAAATTGCCTACACAGGACGCCGCGTTAAAAATACTACAATTTAAAAACACTAAAATTGTGATAAAATTGACATTAAAACATTTTTCTACTAAATATTGAACTGTCTATAACTATTACAAGTTGAAATTAAACACACTAATCAACTTAATAGTGATGGCATTGTCGTTGTAGTAGTCAAATATTGAAGGAGTTGTAATTTAATTACTTTTATGAATATTTTACCAAATAATTTAATTAATAGTCTATTGATTACTTAAATTGACAAATCTTAATACATGATTTGCGCTGAAAAAATATCATAGAAAACATTAGACATGTTGTACAATATTTAAAAGGTTTGTTATACAAGTATGAACCAAACTTATAAATAACAGTTGTATATTTGGCAGTAAGGTTTACATACGGTGTAAAAGTAATGTTTAATATTCCCTCAAGCACATATACATTTCAAAAACTATACCTAAAAGGGTTAAAAGTAGAGCTGTTTTACTTCATTACGCATTTAACTAAAATAAAATAGGTGTTTTACCAATGTGGTCCTAAAACCATTTGGTATACGATGGAAACGTGTTATCATCAGCCACCTATTCACTCGTAATATGTACAAATCATACACTATAATGCATTCTCAGTGGACATACACATTGTGTTAAAAAATACAGATCATAAAAGCGAAATTCCAAAATCCAAATACCTAAAATTTTACAGTCGAATTATAGTAGTGCCCCGTGAGATTTCTCTGCAGTAATACATCCAATGAAACATGACGTATCCATATAATAACAGTTACGTAATATAAAAGATTTTTCTGAGCCTTTATCCGTGAAAGCAAATATTGAGCTTTTATCTACTGCAATAACGCTGCTCTGAGTAAGGTCAGATTAAAAAAAAAAAATTAATAAATAATCAGTACAAATTATTTGATGATAACTGTGCTAATATAAAAAAAAGAGTTCAGCAAATATTTGTGTTGCTTAAAATTGTTGTATACAAAAAGTTATGAATTATCAAAATCTGAAAAAAGTATTTTTCAAAATGTGTTAAATTTTTATCACTTATTATGATGTAAATCCTATAAGCTGGAGAAAGTATCATGCCTTAAATGTTAATGAGATTCATTTTTGTTCTGGCTTTGACACATCATTTAACATTAAGAGAGAAATTACCCCCTTAAATGTGTAACCATTAGTTGATTAAATTATTTTTTTACTATGCGTGATCGCAAATCATTAACACTGTTAGTTGAAGTATCGACTCAAATATTTTAATATTAAACTCAATAATTAAATTCAAAAAAATGCTTTTAAAACGATTAAAATTGTAAAAAAAAATTTGACGGAGTATTCATGAAAAGTATAGGTAAAATATGACAATATTGATTGTATTAACCTGACATTTTTTGATTAACGACTTACTTGATCAAATAAATTTCAACGTTAATTTAAACAAAAAAAAATACAATTTGACTATAAATAATAACTTTATTTAATTTTACTTCAGATATAATTATTTCGGTAAATAAAATGTTAACGAAAGAATTTAAGTAATGTCAAATCCTTAGTTATGTTTTTCATAGGATAAAATGAAGTATTAAGGATATTTTCTACAAGATAATTTCCACAAGAAAAAGTAATTATCCTAATGGTTCAGCCAGTAATAGTAATGGCCGTGACAGATGTTTTTTGATAGATGTGGATCGAGTGTTGACCCGTTTCATGAGCCGTCACGTTTCTATGCGTTTTAGTATATTATAAACGTATAATATAATAAACACACCCACAATTCCAATCTTGTAAATAACACACGAGCAAAAATCTCTAAGATCTAAAGTTTCATTCCTTTTTTTGCTATGCCACTGAACAAAAGCGATAAATATTCTTAACCTTAAAACTTTATTAAAATATAAAGACAAAAAATATACTATTATTTTATAGTAACTGTTAATATTATTTAAGATTCCGAGCCTTTTAAATTACTACCTATACATTTTATCATATTGAATATTTAAACGTGACATGAGTTATATGTATATTCTTCAATTATTTACTAACTGAAAATCCATATAAAATTAAATTTAAAAATACACTTATTTTATATTTTAACCAAGAGTTACGACATTTATAAAAAAAATATAATACCTAAATTATAAAATAGCCAACATTATCAAGATACAACTTTTAGTTAATCTGAAATCATTGCAGTTAATATTTGTTGCAAAATTTATAGACATTTTACCCGTTCTTATGAATTGATATATATTAATTACTGGGATATCTTATTTTAACAAAGAATAGCAAACACACCAGAAAATTCAAGTTTATTACATCTCTTTAATATCTTTTTTATCGTTATTACTACAATTAATAATTTTAATCACTAGTTAGCTAACACTTCTAACAAAATATTATAATGTAATGTTTTTTTTATAAATGAAGCATTGCAGATATTTTATATCGCCCATTTATACTACAAAATTAATGATTGCAATTAACTTTATAATTTGTGAATCATAAAAATATATTTAATACTTTAATCATGCCTATGCATAAATAATGTTTTAAAATATTAACAACACAACCCTATAACTCAAGATAAGTTTTTATACTGTCATAAAGGTTAATCGTATAATACATTATCATACGAAAGTGGAACGTAAGCATCATCATTTTTTAACTACTCGACATAATATTACAGAGATGATGAAAAACTTAAAATTGGTTTATAAGATTTTACGACTAAAACTGTTTAATATAATATTTTAATAGATAAATTGAAAAACATTGAAAATAACTAAAACTGTTTTACTTTGCAAACGTGAACTTATTTTAAATTAATCGTTAGGATGTTATAGGAGTATTTTGAGTGTTACAATTTAGAAAAAAAAATTTTCGATTACAAAAATGAAATAATTGAATTTTTACTGAAATATTCTATCTGCGCCTAAAGTAAAGAAGTTAAATCATAATATGCAATAAAGTATATTTATAACACGAATCATAATGGAATGTCTGCTCCTATAAATACATAAAAATCTTATTTTTACTTTGTTGAAAACTGTACGCTTTTCTTTCTTCGAAGTTTCAAATTTGTTCACTAATTTGTTTTTTCTGATTTTTCAGAAACTTCTTTGTTGTACGACAACAAGCATTATCACGAAGAATGTTTGCGATGCAATTCATGTGGAATGAACCTGACCGGCCCGAACCAGAAACGGGCCAGGAGGTTCAAAAATCACATATTGTGTGATTTGCACTTCGCCGACGTAGCTTTGATGGAGTGCTCAGATTTTATGCAGCAATTACGTAGTTTCAAACCACAATCATTGGGCTGTGCGGTAGCAAGAAGAAAGAGCTCCACTACGCTAATATTTCCATTACCACCTCAAGCTTGTGGCGGTAAGATAGAGCATACAATATAGTTTACGTTAAAACATTGATTGGCATCAATATAGATTTATACATAACATTCCGTAGTAAGAGCCTGATTTAGTAATTACTAGGTAATATTATCGTGGAATAAGATTATGTCCTTGTGGCACAAAATGAAAGTTAAAACTCTAGTATTGGAAAGTGATGAGAATAATCGACAGGTAACATCATTATTTGGAAAATCTTATTGAATAATATTATTGGTCACTTGAAAATTACTATTAACACGTTGTTCATCTTTTGAGACACCTGACCATATTACCGCACACATGATACTCCCAGTTCTATATTGTGATATTTTCCACGATACATTTGTCTAAGATATTAATTATGTTAACTGTTTGCGCAATTATTAACAAATTCCTAGTACGAGATTTCAATCTTTCAAATTTTTAATCAAGTGGTATGGAAGTGTAATTTGTATTTTTATCAATATATACTTTTAGACAAGGGTGTTACCAAGGAGAGATTTGGGGATTAATTCTCCAAAAATAATTACGTGCTTAGGAAAAAATTTTGAGGAGACAAAATCTCCTCGATTAGGAAAAAACCTGAACGCCATATCGCCAATTATATTTCAATCGTCAGCTACTTATTAGACTTATTTTTATCAAATTTATAATGCTCATTTTATTTGTAGTTATTGACATTTTTGATTGTTCTTAGAAATATAATTAGGCGAATCAAAATTATTTTGCTATTTAGTTGTTTAGTCTTTTTTAATTTTAAATTGTTCTATGATAATGAGATATGAAGATATTATTTTCTCACGGCATGTTCACGCTCATTAAACAAATTAAAACGTATCATATAATATATTGGCTATTTAGGAGCATAAAGTTTTCTTACGGACAAAGTTCATTGTCAGAAAATTATTTAAATATTAAAAAAATGGTGAAAAAGATTTGTTTTTTGCAAAAATAAAGAACAGCATTTCCAATGAAAAATGAACAAGAAGTGTATAATCGAAAGAAAAAAAAGGTCTAGGAAAGGTAAGGCTGTCACTCAATGTTGTCTAAGTCACGTGAGGCCACTTTAAAGTTTCTCTTCGTCGCCACCAGTGTCGTGTTTGTTACACATGAGCAGATACGCCTCGAAAACATGCCAAAATTCAATTTTCCCATCTGCTAGAAGTGTTGCTTCTTACTTTCCCCTACTCATTCTTACCGGAATTGATATGATTGTACGACTCAGTGGAATTACAAAAGCCATGTCTTTAATACAATCTTATTTGTATCTCTATTTTAAGCATATTGGTAGCGAATAATTTAGATTCGACTGATTGATTCCAATAATAATAAAATCTGTTCGAGCCAGATGACCCTGACAAACATTAACTGTTCATGAAAACTAAACATTCATATTTCAAAAATACTTCTTCCTGAAATTACAAACTTTACCATATTACGAGAAAAAATAATTATTTTTATATAAAATATGATTCTAAATTGTTAATAACTATCATTAATAGGCAAAATCAGTAACATGAAGTCGAATGAGATCCAATTCGTTTGAATAAAAATTTTTATTTCAACTTTTCAAATATTATATAACATTCATATAAAACAACAAAAATTTAAAAAAATAACATATTTTTTATGAAGAAAGAAAAATTTTTATATCATAAATATTTATTAAAAAATTCGATATTGCAATAATATTAAAAATAATAATTATGTTAATAGCAAAATATTAATTAAATCATAAATGACAATAAGATGTTTTACATTATAGGTTAAATTGTGCCAATAAAAATCTAGATTATTAAAGATTTTATCTATTTAATAAATACTTTACTGACAAAATATTTTTATAAGTATTGCCTACTGTGATTATTACTAATGAAAACTTGTTTAACTTTTATAAACTATTATATTGCTGACATTAAAATATTAAGTTTTTTTTTTAAAGTATTAGTATTATAAAATAATTCCCTCACTTGTGATATTTTATTTTAAAAGAACGTCAAAAAATGTTTGCCTGTTAAAAATATAAATCAAGTTAGATTTATATTATACATTGAAATAGAAGCCTAGTTACTCATAGAGTTTAAAGTTTCTAATGATTTTAATTTTTTTTAGAAATAATCTAACAATCTAACTCGTTATCACTAGTTTACAAATAAAAATATAGTCAAAAGTTTGATGAAAGTTAGCTACAAGAAGAATCTTTCTGTTTGAAAATTCATGTAAAAAACGACAGACAAAACTTAAAATATGTTTATATCCTTTATTGTTATGTTTTAAATTTAACATATTAAATTAAAAACTAAGCCTGTTTGCTATTAAATAGTTGTGATTTATCTATAGATATTCTTGCTGCTTTATTTTTAAATGAGGTATTATATTAAATCTTAACATCGTCGATTGAAAATCAAAAAGTTCTATTTTATAAACAATATTCATACGAGATAGAACCTTTTGACTCTTATATTACATTATAAAGAGTTAGATGCTTTTAAAATAAAAATATTAAGTGTACTCATTAATTATTCATTTCTAACAGAATTCTAAAACTGTACATTTTTTATGTAATTTATTATTTTTTGCAGTTAATTTCAAACTAAGTAAGTTAAAACTGTTTTAAACTACTTATTTGTTTATTTTCATAAATGAATAACATTAGTTTTAAACAAAATCGTTGGCGAACTTATCTGAAGAGTTTTCATTAGAATATTTTTTCCATAGTTGCCTTTCTATTTTGAAATCAATACACTTAAGTTTCGGTACGTTCACTAAATAATTCTCAAAATTGTCTTTAAGTTAAAGAATACTACAAAAAGAATCAATTAAGAGTAATATGATAGAATTATACTTTTTTGAGTCAAAAATCATTATCGTATGTTTCTTTTATAAATAAATAAAACATGATGTAATCTTGGATTTTATAATCCTTTACGGAAGCTTCCTTGGATTTTTTTTATGAAAAGAATATAGTAAAAATAGTAACTGCGATGCAGCATTTGAAATAAAAATATGTTTTCCAAACATTTCTGAAGAAATTTCGACATTACTTTTATTTTCTATCAACTAAAATATAAGTGTTGTTTATCTATAATAAATATATATTTATCACTGAACCACCCAATACAATATTTATGTACATATTTATTATTTAATATTATTGATATGATACGTATCCGCATGATAATGACAAAGCAGACACCAAATGCTATTTAGATCCTATTGATTTATCATTGTATTTTCAAATAAATAATATTGTGTACATATGTGAGTGCATTTTCTATTTTCACTCAGAAAATAAATTTCAGCTACTTTTGTTTATAATTTTACAAATGTAAATGTGTATAAATATTTTTTAATTAATTTCATTTTTATTTTTAAAAGTAAACAACATTTTAAAATTTAAAAATACTGTAAAAGTCACAATGAAATTATTTTCAGATGAATCACCCTATTCAGGAATTTAATAATGTGTGTTAGAATTTCATACTTTTCTTTGAAACCATCAAATTATTAAAATATATCTTTTGTCGAAAGTTTCAAAACCGATACAACCTGTCATAAGCAATTATACGACCGACTGTATAAACTTAATATTTTCTTTGATGTTCCATGACCTCACTAATTTCATAAGTACTTAATTTATTTACTCTTCAATCGTTTCTATATCTCGTATTGAGATAAAATCAATTGTAATTAACTTCGTATTTCATTTAGATGGTAATAAATTCTATATAATGCATTTTAAAAATTTCTTTATGTAACCAAAACAGAAAATAATATACTACTGACTATGACAAATTAAATAATGTACGTATGTACATTTATTATAAAAATAAACACATTTTTATAGTTTACCAGATAATATAGACAATGAGAATGAAACTATGCTCATATCAAATATTTTATCCTAAAAGTAATTTTTAAGTTGTTCATTCCATTGCGTATTAACGTTATCCGATAAACGCTATTTATACTACTATAAAAAACCATTATATAAAAAAATCTACACCATTTTTTTCGCTCAAACATTATATTATGATCGAATCTCTTTAGCGACCTTTATTGTAATTCAACCGCGTGTAAAACGTGTCTACATACATCTTTAAATGTTCTAGATTTATTTCTATACTTGTCAAGTTTTCACCATATTCTCTTTTCCTATTTTTGCCGTAATGCGTTATCCTTTCACACATTTTAACTGGTCTCTCTCAAATATTAAAAATACGTATAGCAGCATTTTTACTAAGATAAACTAATAACTGTAATATTTCAAAATGACATAAAATCATCCTAATAAAGTACCATGACGGTTTATAAAAATTTATACTTGTCATTGTGATTGATCTTCCTGATATTGAAGAAATCTCAGAGTAAATAAATATTTTTATTCTTCCCTTACTCAATTTTTGGCAAATGAGCCATGTCTTTTAAGCATTTTTACAGTTGGCTTTCTAATAGCTTTTGTCGTCTTAGCCAATTAGGACTTAGATTAAAAACTTACTTATGAAGCATTTAAAACGTAGCTTAGAGACCTTTATTATTTCACAAAAAGTAATCAAAATTCGATTTGTCTAACTATTACACTTCGACTTAACGATGGAGTTTTACCGTTTTCATACAATTATAATTTAATAGTTTATCTACCAAGAAACTCATTTCCACTCATGGTTCAGATTTCGATTAAAAGTTTATTCCACTTAAATTGTGATAGGAGCTTTATTGATACTTCTGAATGCCACTTAGCACTATAGAAATATTGTTGTATTATAGTTAACAAATTAGAATTAAAAACCAACACTTGACAATAAACAATAGTAATTACTAAAAGATATATTCTATTCATATCATCTTACGACAATAATCATTACTTCTATAATATTATATATTATTAATTATTTAAAAATTTATAAAGCCAATTAATTTAATTTATAAAATTTAAATGTATGTTATACTCAACAGTTTTTCCTAAAAACGTAAATAAACGTTGAACAATTTCTAAAC